CGTGGGTTTCGGCTGAAGGACCTCCTCGACCTCACCAGAGAGCCCCCGACAGACAGTCTGATTCCTGACTTGGCTTCGGACTGCTTCGGATCCACAAGCCTTGGATGCTTCCAGCTCCTGTGGCAGGGCAGCTGATGGCAGCTGTGGGCTCACTGCAAGTTGTTGGTCTGCGAGCGCCCTCCTTATGCCCGGATTTCGCCTGCTGCGGCAAGCTTTCCCGGCCGAGAAGCCGCGGGTCAGCTCTATACTATTATACGGCCAGCCCGATGTCGTCAATCGACGCGCCCGCCAGCCCATGTCGTCAATCGACGATTGACGACATGGGCTGGCGGGCGCCTACGATCAAACGGGCCTCAGCACCCGGTTGCCCAGTTCTCGTGATCAGGGCTTCACGTGCTTCTTACGCACATGTGCCGTTGAGAGCTGAAAGAGCGGCGAGGCACGTTGCTCAGTCTCGAAGAGCATCTTGCAGACGTGACAGAACATGAGCATGTGCAAACAGATTGCGCAGGCCAAGGCCAGGGCTTGGAGACTCAAGACATCTCTCCGGAAGCACGGGCGTGGCAGATGTCATCCTGTCGATGTTCACTCTGGGTATCAGGCACAGACGAGTTTGAAACAGGCGCAAAGCAAATGCTGCTTCAGCTTGAGAAGGAACCACCAACCCACCTGAGACGGAGAAGGCTTACAGTCTGAGTTGCGGCCAACTTGATTAAGAAAGTGTTCCGCGCTCCATCAACAGGCCTACAAATCAGGCAAAAAGGCATGTTGCTACACAAGTGTGAACTAGAGGCTCACGTGCCTCTGCGGGGTCCACACTACAGACATGCAAACGCATGGCAGGCAACCATCATCATCCGACAATTCTCCAAGCCCCCATGATCAGAGCTTCTGATTGCGGCAAGTGGACCTGTCAAAAGCTTCTGCAAACGCTCGACTTGCCTACAAACAGAGAAGAGCACACTCAAAGCAAATTTTCATGCAACAATGCTAGAAGCACGTGCCGGGCACAAGGCAAACAAGCGCCGTTCCGGGGACACCCGGGGCACTAGAGAGTTCTATCGTTGATGCAACCCTTCCGAAAGACCAGAGCGGTCCTCGCGTTCATGGAGACCCAAAGTGGTAGCCTGGCAGAGCATCTCGGGGTTCACGGCTCAGCAGCGCAGCCAACATCAAATGCTAATCTTTGCAGGCAGATGTTGCCNNGTGCTCGATCCACCCAACGTTTCACCCTGATGCCTCACAACATCTCACAAAGCAATACCCTCGTTTGACTTTCAGAGCACCCGTGCGATGGTTTTTCAGACTCTCGTGCTTTCATGTGCTTGCGTTCTCCGACACGTGCCTTCCTGAGTCGGTCCAGAACCGCAGGCTGCATGGTCCGCAGGCACTCCAAACCCTACCCGACCAGCTACGATCAGGGAACCAGACTCGGATCTCGGCACCTTGTGGGGTTTGAATGCCTCACTCTCAGAACCCGCGTCCTGAAACTCACACGCCAAAATCTCTCGGACATCTTAAAGGCCTTGGGCAAGGCCGCTTCACACTGCGCTGTGGGTACCCCGAGCACAACATCATCCAACCTCGGTTCGGTGAAGTTTGAGGGTCGGCAGGGTGCTGTGCAGGCAGTGCAGTGTGCGCAGGTTTCATGCAGACGGGTTTACGAGTGGCTCGAGCCTTCACCAAAACCATTAGCACCCTCCACACGTCTTTTTGCTTTCGAAGCTATCAGCGAACGCGGGCGCAGCAAAGGTTTTGCTGCACGGCGATGCACAAGGCCAGCCACCAGTCGCTCTCCGGCGACGGCGGTGCTTCGGTCAATGCCTGGGCAGCAGCGGTGACTAGGCCAGGCCCGACTGCTGAATCGCACAATGTCAGCGACACGAGCAATATTGCAGTTTGATGAGGCATAGTTAAGCTTAGCGTCCGGATCTTGGGATTCCGACGCTTGGCTCGTCGTTTCGACGGGCATGTCGGTGGCGGTCTCGTTGTTTGACACCGGAGACGTGGCTGCAGCGTCTGCCTCCTGCTCCAGCTTTGTCGGGCAGAAGCGAGCATGCAGAGCCTCCCAGGCGCTGGGAGGCAGCATCCGGAAATCGCCGCTAAGCGAGGCTGCCTGGCTCTCCAACATCTCGCTCCCATCCGCGGATTCCTCCAACTTGAAGATCTTCTTCGTTTGCTGTTTCGCTGCTGCTGCGGCGGAAGATTCCTTGCACCCTCTGCCAGGCACCGCCAACCAAGCCGCGGAACCTCCCGGGTGCCCTCTGCAAGACCTCACCCACCTCACCAGAGAGCTCGAGAGACAGCACAGTCTGAGCCGAAGACAGCCCTGATTATTGTCTGATTCTTGACTTAGCTTCGGACTGCTTCGGATCCACGAGCCGTGCCACAGGAGCTGGAAGCATCGGAGAAAGAGGCAGCGGAGAACAAGGCTCGTGACTGCAGCAGAAACTGTTGTTGCCGTTGTTGTTGATGCTTGCTGCTGCTGCTGCTGCTGCTGTTGTTCCTTGTGTTGGTTTGTGTGCCAACGAAGTTCGTTCAAGCCCTGGCCTGCTGCGGGCAGGAGCAGGCTTCGCAGGAGTTCGAGAACATTGTTCTCCAACTCCTGCGAAGCCTGCTCCTGCCCAGGCCCAGCAACGAAGGCATCCTGCTCGATCTGTGTCGTGTGGAAGCGAGCGTGCAACGTCTGCCACGCACTGGGCGGCAGGATCCGAAAATCGCCCGCCAGGGAGACTTGGTGGCTCTCCGAAAATGATGCGCCTTTCGCTCCGACTTCCGGCTTTGTTTCGTCTGCTGCATCTGCTGCGCCGCTGCTGCTGCGTCGGAACATTGTCCGCACCCTGCCAGGCGCCGCCCACCAATCCGCGGAACCTCGTGCGTTTCGGCTGAACCTCCTCGACCTCACCAGAGAGCCCCCGGCAGACAGCAGGGGGAGCCATGCAAATCTGAGCCGAAGACAGCCCTGATTATTGTCTGATTCCTGACTTGGCTTCGGACTGCTTCGGATCCACAAGCCTTGGATGCTTCCAGCTCCTGTGGCAGGAGCAAGGCAGCTGATGGCAGCTGTGGGCTCACTGCAAGCTAAGAGTGCGCTCCTTGCGCCCGGATTCCCGGCCCAGAAGCCGCGGGTCAGCTCCGCTCTGGATTGACGACAGGGGCTAGCCGGGGCCTACGACCAAACGGGCCCCAGTTCTCGTGATCAGTGCTTCACGTGCTTCTTAGGCACATGTGCCGTTGAGAGCTGCAAGGGCGGCGAGGCACGTTGCTTAGTCTCGAAGAGCATCTTGCAGAGGCGATGGAACATGAGCATGTGCAGCCAGACTGCACAGGCCAAGGCCAGGACTCAGAGACACCTCTCCCGAAGCGCGGGCGTGGCAGCCGCGTCGAGTCCTCCACTATGAGACGCTATGAAAGGGTGAGACATGAAGAGGAGCTGCCGTTCGAAACAGTCTGAGTTGCAGTCCAATTCAGCAAGACAACAGTCGCCACACGATGAACTGGCCTAAATGGTCCAAATTATGGGGCGGACACCACACTGCGGCTCCATGGAGATAGCACTACAAACCTTCTGCGCTCTGTGAGCCACTTGGTCACCGCAAGCGTGCCTATAGAATCCTATACACATGTTTTTTTTCGCAGATTCCCGCCTCACACTGCAGGTGCATGAGCAGATGTTCCAACGGCCAATGCGGGCTCCATGCTACCGTATGCAAGCACCAGCACAGCAAATGCTGTCACTTGAAACCGACAAGGCACCCTGTGTCCTCCTTCCACAATTCGTGCGCAACTGGCTCCTGAGCGTCAGACAGACATGCAGACCCACGTCAGGGTAACACCAACAATACTAGAAGCAGGTGGCCGGCACGCGGAGGAGAACAAGCACCGTTCCGGGGACATAGAGAAAAAGCACGCAGAGAGTTCGGGAGTCCATTTGAGAGCTTCTTGGAGCTTCGACGCTTCCCAAAGATCAGAGCCTTCCTCCAGAGCCCGAGATCGAACAGCGCGTTCATGGCGACCGAAAGTGGCAGCCTGGCAGAGCATCCGAGGGTTCACGGCTCAGGACTGAAGGCCAACATCAAACTGCGAATCTTTGAAGGCGGAAGTGGCGGTATCATTGTGCTCGATCCACTCTCCATTTCGTTGTGATGCTTTACAACTCGAGCACCCGCGCGATAGTCGTTTTTCTGATTCTCGTTCATTCGTGCTTCTACATGTGCTTTCCCCCAAAGCCTACCCGATCAGCGACCAGCAGGCTCCAAGAAAGAACGAAAGAACCAGAGCCTCATTCGGAACTCATGTGAACTCCATCCCTGGGCCTGGCATCTTCCGAGGATTGAGTGTTTGAGTCTCAGATCCTTTGGGCACTGTCGGGAAAATAAAATCGAAGACCAGCTGTGCGCCACGCGTTCTGAAACTCACATGCGGAAATCTCGCTGATATCTTGAAGGCCTCGGGCAAGGCCGAGCGCTGTGGACTCTTTCCCGAGAGGAGCAGAACCTCATCGACCTCGGTTCTGTGAAGTTTGAGTTCCGACGGAAGGCTTCGAGGCTTCAGGCAAGCTTCGCCAACTTAGAGCAGAAGGCCTCTGCGCTCTCCAAAACTTGATGCTGCGCAGGCAGTGCGAACAGGTTTCTTTCAGACGGGATTATTTAATTGCTCGAAGCCTTCTACCAAGCACGAAATACCATCAGCACGCTCCAGACGTTTCTCCGTTCGAACCAATCAGCGCACGCGGGCGCAGCAAAGGTTCTGCTGCACGGCGACGCAGAAGGCCAGCCACCAGTCGCTCTCCGGCGACGGTGACGCTTCGGTTGCAGCCTCCGCATCGGGGTGACTAGGCATAACATAATGTGAGCCGACGAGAAAAGAAAGTCTGAAGCTGTGTTTCTACCGGGCTAGGCTTCCGAGCTTGGACTTTGCGGCGAGTTCAGAGCATGAAGGATCATGCCGAAGGAACCACAAGACCTGTTAAATCATTGAAAACGTTTCTCTGTCACTGCATGACAACCTGTGTCAAGGAAATCCGCTCGCCGACACCTTTCAAGCGGCAACACCATCAGAAGCCCGCGCCCTCTCCACCCCCCCTCGGCCCAGCTCGCCTCCACGAAGGAGGGAGCGCGTGCGGTGGCCTCTGGAGTGGGCTGACCTCGCCGCTCGAGTGAAGTTTTCGAGCTCGTCAGGTTCAAGGGTTCGACACGACAGATCAACGCGAGCGAGGAGTGTGTATGCATGTGTGTGTGTGTGTGTCAAAGAGATCCGTGTGACCTCAGATTCAACGAAGCAATGGCCACCGTTGGGCATGCTCATCCCACTCATGTCCTAACATCAGATCCCTGCCTATCCGGCCTTCCTGCGGGCTTCGTGTCTTGTCCTTGAGCTTCTCGGGAGGCATCTCCTGTCCATAAAGTAGTTCACGTTCCCTAAGGCCTTTCCAACCAACAAGTGAAGATGGCTGGACAACTCAAACTAAGACACTGAAACAGCAATCTAGTGACATAGTAATGGTGCCAATGCCCACGCGTTGGAGCCTCGAATGCCTCGTCACCATAGTCGCTGCCCGGTGACACGGGGGATGCCTGCATGGCTGCTCTGGCCAGGGATCTGGGCATTAGCCGAAGGTACGTCGCTCTGCGCCCTCCACCAACACAAAAGCACGTGCTCGGGACAGGAAACATGTTGAGAAAATCTGAGTTGCTTTCGCCGAGAGGATTGGGGAAGCATGCGCACATCAACGTGCAGCCCACAAAGACCTCTTTTGCAGCAGAAACTGTTGCACTTGCTGTTGTTGCCGTTGTTGTTGATGCTTGCTTGCTGCTGCTGCTGCTGTTCCGTGTGCTGGTTTGTGTGCAAACGAAGTTCGTTCAGGTGTTTCCAGCCAACAACGGAAGATGGCCGAACAACTCAAACTAAGAGTGTAAAACTGCAGTCTAGTGATACAGTAATCGTGTGAATGCCACGCATGGGAGCCTCGAATGCCTCGTCTGCATACTCACGGGTCCGTGACACGGGGGATGCCTGCGCGGTTGCTTGCAATATGGGGTATAGGAGTTGTAACAGCGTGAAGCTACGTCGCTCCGTGCGCTCCGCCAACACGAAAGAACGGCCTCTGCCGACCGGATG